AAATGTGAAAATGGATGGCTCGATTGTTTTTCATATTTTCTGGGCGACTGCACGGACTAAAACACTTCATACTCTCACTAGATACAGTACACACACACGTACAGCTACACGCCCCCACCCATAGGTATACACAAAATTACACTTTTAAAATCAGTGGAGCATAGAAACCCCTTGGCCTCGTTAATTACTAGTTTACAATTTAAGTTTTCATTACGTCGAGCAACTATTTAAATTTACAGGTAACTTGGTTTGGCAAAAAAAACGTACGATTAGTACAACAAGAACAGGCTCATAATAAATTTCCTCCTGCCCTTACACACACACTCTCTCTCCCATACACTCGCAGAACAGGCTCGTACATCTACTGAATACACACACGAATATATATATATATATGTATGTATATATAAATATGTATATATAATGATATATATATGTATATATATATGTATATATATATATACACCCGATATACAGCAATCCTAGAAAAATTATATATTATTTATTTTAAATGTAATTTGAATAATTTGATATTTCCTGAAGTAAACAAATGTATACTTATATTATTTCCAAGCGCTAAATTGGTCGAAAAAAATGTGATGAAGATAAATCCAACACACATTTAATTTTAAGCTAGTTCTACTCAGTCATATGAAATGAAAATTATAATTAAAATGAAATTTGAGAAATTTGAACACATTTAACGAGCATCTACACAAACACACACTTACACATACATGTGGATATACATACATACATGCGTAGTTAATATTATATAATAAAAACATCTCGTTTTGAACATTTAAACTGTAAATCTAGGCGCGCACTTTCTTTGTTTTAAAACAAAATCAACTTCTTGATAAGGCGACAGGTTGAACTTGTTCTTAGGTCCTAGCTAGAGCCGCAGACTGCGTAAAAAAAAAAGAGAAAAACGATACTAAAAGCAATAAGATACGCTTGCAGCAACAATAACAGCAAAATTACTTAAATGCTATAAATTACACATGCATAAGCATTAAACAGATTAAACAAATACTTACAACTACCTACACTAAACTGTTAAAACATTTTGCGAAAATTCTACGAAAAAAAATGAAGCAAATACATACAAATTACTTACGTATTTAGCTAAGAACAAATTACACACACATACACACACATAAAACTTACACACCTTTATACAAAGGGAGAAAAACAAAATTTTAGATTTTTATTGTTTGTTTGACATTTTGTGTTGTAATTTTGGAGTATTCTTTGGTTCTCGTCAGATTTCATAGGGAACGGATACTAAAAATGTAGCTAGTAGAAATTCAAATTGCTTAATTAACTTAACGTAAAGCAAACGTAAAACAAAAGCATACAATTTAATATTCCATTTAAAGAAAGATAAAAACAAAAACAAACAACTTCAAATGCATAAACGACGTAAAAGATTAATGGCTTGCCAACTTTTAAATGCTTATCCGACACACTACGAGTAGAAGGTCTTAGAGATAGAGCACAACAATACTTAGCATAGAATGCGTTTCCACAAAGGATACGAAACTATACAAGAACAACAACAACAACAAAAACAAAACCCACAAAATATGTAAAAATACACTTGATAAACAAACGAAAACAAAAACAAATACTTGATGAATGATGATGAGCAACGCGGGCGCTGATTGGTCAAAAACGCGACGTGTTGCAGTAATTGCTTTGTAAAATGAATAATATATATCTATAATATATATAAAATATATATATATACACACAAAGACAAACCACATACGCATATACATGTGTGCGTATGTAAACAAGTTTGCGCTACATTGCCTATACACTTGCATACAAACACAGACAATTGAAACAAAAACAAAATGATGAAAACGATGATATGAAATTACCTTTAACTGCGTTAAAGCCTAAATAATCTAATAGAATAAAAAAGAAAATAATCAATATAACGTTTTTTTTTTGCCTGTTTGGTTTGTTTTGTTTCAAACATTGTTTTAGCTGCAAGCAAATTATGTAATGAATGCAAAATGCAAAGATTCGTTGATGAAAAACAAACAAAAATGTCACACACCGCACCCATAAATACATATGCATACATATGGACACAAACACAGACACACCAGGCGGATCATTAAAAAAAAAAAAAAAAAAAGCCAAGCTGAGTTAAATAGCTGCTTGTGCAGAAAACAGCCGTTATTTAGATTCTTTATCGACAGCAAAGCAGAATAATATAGATTTTTTTCATGCGAAAAAAAAATATGAAAAATGAAATTCATAGATTTATTAATTTAAAATTTAAAAATACACACAAAGTACTTCAAATATGAATTATTTTGAAGTATGCATGCAGAAAACAAAAACTAAAAATATAATAAAAAAAAAAAAACTACATACATATATGATATACATACATACTATACGGATTATTATTACTCTTATAATTATTATTGTATTGAAGGAAAAATATAAGAACATTAAACAGCATAAATAAAAAATACACGACTTTTTTTTTGTTTGCTGGGTTTTGTGACCATTTATTATGACTTTTAGAAAGCTTTGAACAGTTAAATTGTTATTAACGGGAGCCTTTTATACGAATGGCTCAATAGTGAACTCAACCGCTGAACAGGGAGTTGTTAAGTCGAAGGCCTGAAGCACGCTTGGATGCAGCACTCCAATTCTGCCGATGACGGCGTCGTTGTACATGACATTCGCGCACCGCCCGGGGAAGTAGCTGGGATCTGTTCCGAGCAAGTGGATACGAGTTAGTTTTTGAGCATCAAGTTTCTGTTAAATTCTCACCTTCAGTTGCCTGGAGATAGTAGCCTTTGTCGGCGCCGCCTGTCTTCCAGGGCACAGAGAGCACCTGCATGACACGATCCAGCAGCCCGTGAACCACCTCGAATCCGGCGCTCTTGTTGCAGTTAACCGCACACAGACGTCGCTCGTTGCGAGCACCAACCTCTGCAGCTTCGTCAGCCAGCACCACATCGCTAATCTCGAACAGTTTCATTGGCAGCGGCATCTTACGATTTGCCACCAGAGTTTTTAACAGGCCCGGCAGCAGGGTGGTGCGCACCACTTGGAATTCCAATGTCTTGGGATTACCTATATGGACAGCAGGCAGGGCTTCGATCTTTTTGTTCAGCTTGAGCGCTATGTCGTCGCGTGAGCAAAGCGTGAAAGTGAGAGCCTCCGTGAAGCCAGCCTGTGCCACCTGTTCGCGCAGCTGCTCCGTAAGTTTGTTAAGTGGAAACTGTTTGGCTATTTGCATAAAGGCTGGCAATGATTTCTTGATGTTATTGTAGCCAAAGGCAATGGCAATGTCCTCGTAGACATCGCAGGCATGTATGACATCATGGCGCGTTGGTGGAATCTTCACGTTTAGTGAGTCGCCATCCTTGGCATCAACCTCAGTTTCCAGATACATACGTGTCAGCATGTCCGCCAGCTTGTTGGCCGGTTCGTTGATGCCAATGTATGCGTTGGCTCGCTTCACTGATATACGCTCTGTGCGCACGGCCAGCTCTGGATAGGAAATGATGGTAGTACCATCAGTTTGTACCACATCACATGGCTCGACAGTGAACTTCTTAGCGCAGTGCTCGGAGAAGAGGCATACAATCGTGTCCAGCACAACCTTGGCTTTGGTCAAATCTGTGGCAGTGCATTCGATGAAGACATTTTTGGTTTTTAGCGAAATTTTCGAGTGATCTCCGTTGATAATTGGTGGCAGCGACAGAACCACACGATTGGCATCGTAAATCACTGGGTAAACAGGTGAATCGCGTATGATGGGCAAATATTGTTTCAGCTGTGCGTGCGTGGCATAAAAGTTCATGAGTTGAACACCGTTCAGCTCTTGTGTTTGGTTTAACGGAACAAATTTGATTTGCTCCGGTGGCAGGGCCTCATAACTGAAGGGTCCTTTTATGGTATCCAGATCGTGAGTCCCAATGGCGACCAAAGTACGTTTGCGGCAAATATTCTGATGCAGCTTATCCTGCAGATCGATAAAGCTATTATAGGAGTCCTGCGTAAAAGTAACATTTCGCAGCACTGCGGCCACAGCAAACGGACGAATTTGCGCTGTGGAAGGGTTGATTTTCAGCACTTGGCGTTGCGCCGGTTCCACAAACTCAAACTTAGGTGGCTTCACTCTATAGTATTAATTTGTTTTATGAATAATGGAATTTTTGGGTAGTCGTTTTTGTACTCACTTGCCCTGAAAGACTCGCAGAGCCGTAACCAATCCTTCCAAGCAAAGCAAATCATACCGATTAGCCGGTATATCAATCCTGTAAATGATTTCCTCGCTGGCATCCGCTGCTGCCGCAACATCGCCTTGCTCTTTGGTGAGCATTTGCTTCTCTGTTGTCTGCATTAAATGTATTGAATGGTGAAATGGTATCCATTATTTAATAGTACACTCCCATTGCTTACCACTTCATCCAGCTCCAGGCCGAAGGCGAAACACAGTTCTTGGAACTCGTCATCGGCTAGTGAAAGGATCAAGCATTAAAATTGAAAATCCACGTGGACTGCTGCCGGTCAACTTACTGTATTTCTTGCCGAGTGCATCAAAGAGCAGATCACGCTTAACTCCAATTGTAGGCATTGTGATAATTTAAATAAATCACAGATATCTCTTTAGATTAGCAATTTCTTAATTTTGTATTTTAAGAAATATTAAAAAAGATTTGTTTGATTAGAGTGTGTACACACCTAATTTATAAATTTATTGGGAAAATGTTATTTAACATAACACGAGAATAACATGAGGAATTTGTGGATTTTTTGAATGATGAAATTGTGATTTAAGAATACTGCATCTTTAAACACTGGTTGCAAGAATACATATATTAATGAAAATATCTATTAATGGATAGAAAACGTTGTAAATTATAGAAAACAGCCCTAAGCATTAAATAATCGTTATGTTTGAATTTAACAGAGTGAGCGTATAATTCACAATAGAGATGAACGATATACACTGATAATATGATAGCTATCGATTAACACTTTCCAGCAGCAATAAAATTTGTCTTTTTTCAGTTAATTAAATTTAAAAAATATTTTATCTCTTAAAAAGATTCTGGTTATAAAAATTGACACAAGACATTGTGAAATGTATTTTTTTTCTGTACAAAAATAATACTTTTTGTACGAAAACGTGTCTTAAACGCCATATGCCACCAGTTTAACTGATGGATAATTTAAACTCCAAATTTATATTCAGTTGGACACACGTTGTCAATAAAAAAAAATAAAATAAAAAATGCCACACACTGCGTGTTGTTGTGTTGCTTATACGGATTCCAAATCGGCTGAAAAAAGCGTATACTGGTGGCAGCTGTTGTTGTCGCCTGGCGCTGCATTTCCAAACTGTCCACACAAGAAATCGGAAGTAAAAAGCGTCGCACTTTTTTAGTACTCGTTATTTTTATTTATTTATTTTTTTATTTTTTTATTTTAGAGCGAAAGCAGTCGGAAAGAGGTGTTTAGATAGAACACTGTCGACAAAATACAGCGAAAACTGGATCGATCCCAAGGCAACTTAAGCAATTAAGAAGGCAACGCGAGCTCCTTGGCAGACGCGCGTCAGACGGGTAACAAAAAAAAAAAAAACAAAGTATGAAGCGCGTGTGGCCAAAAAGTTAATGAAGCGTTAAAAAATCAACTTGTGGTCATAAAAAAGCTGCGACCCATTTTAAACAGTTATAAGCTGACCTGGGCCTTAACGAAAGCGGGAGCGACACCATGAATGATATAAATATATTGTTAATCAGCGACAGTCGTCCGATTATTTTCTTAGATAAAAGTCAAAAGGAAATCGGAATTGAAATTATATATCCAAGTCCATCTATTTCATACTCCAAATTTTATAAATTTCCTTCCTCCACGTTTTTCTTAACTCTAAAATTTAAAAAGAACCAGTTAGTCGGACATACCCAATGAAACATATGTATTTTTTTTTTTTTTTAAATATGCATTATTGGCTTCAACATATATTCCAATTGTGATCTATTTCCCTCATAAATATGTATTAAATTGAGCATTTTTCCACAGGATTTTCTTCAGTTTGTTTCTCATTTTTTTTGGGCTGTACCCAAAGGAATAATCAATTTAAAAACGCCTTCAACTGCTCTCTGTTGCATTTTTCATAAGCATGTCCTTGCGCCGAGGCTTTGTGTTTGTTTGTTCAACCCTTGAAGAGATTGATTATTGTTTATATTTGTGCCTCCTGTGAGCATACGAATGCAGTGCAAACATACGCATCGCATCGCATCCGATTGTGGCCTGACCGACGCCAACGCCAACGCCAAAGCCAAAGCCAAAGCCAACTCTTCCATTTGAATTGGGGCAATTAAAGTGTGTGGTACAACTCACGGCTGAATAACTCTATAAACACGTGATAGATGAAAGGCCGGCTGAACCGATTTTAACTGCGCTGCCCAACAACAACAACAATATGGACAGCAACAACAATAGCAATTAACATTAACCCCTTCGACCTTCGTCGCTTGGCGGCGGGGGCGTTAATTCAGACACGAGCTCTTGGTCAATTTATCAAAAAATGCGACCAATTCCTGGAAAACGAAATAAAGTGATTATCAAGAGAATTGAGTATCGACCATTATTATTGGCCAGCACATTTTTCATCCTTGCTTTTGTCCTGGCATTGCTTTTGTCTCCCGGCATCTCTAATTCATTTGTAATTATGCTAAATATGATATTTATATTTTTATGTACATATATATGGTATACATACGTATTTGATATTTAAAAATTTGACTGGCGCAGATGCTGATTGGCTGATGATATGGCTTATAGAATATAAGCATATATTTATTTAATTTTTATGTAAATATTTATATTTTATTAAACTACTAAATATACTAAAAGTTCGTGTTTATTTTAGATTTACTCTTAATAATAAGTTTATAAAATTGAGCTAGATTTTATGCAGTTTTATGCAGTAGGTTAACTTACATAGGAATAAAAATATTTTCCTACAGTTCTATGAAATCTCCCTAAATATCATTTTTGCCAAATCAAAAACATAATGGTTTCTTCTCACGCATAAGCCTTAAAGAAAGGTCCTAATTGTTAACTAGTTAGTTTTTCACACGTTTGCTCCAGTTACAATTATGTGGCACCCGCCTCTTCCGGCAAACATGGCAAAAATAACATGGCAAACATAAGATCAATTCATCATGTTGGTAATTGGATGGGAACGTGTAGATTTTCCCTGTTCTCTTGCCAAACACTTGTGCTATTACCTGTTCTGCCGGCTGACCATATCTGACCTGCTGCTGTGTGGTCAGATTCAATTGAAATTAACTATATGCCATGTCGGCATTCTACGATATCTGCGGTTGAAAATATCAATTTTCATATAATGCAATTGTCACCCAAGGACCTCCGTGTGAACTGTCAACGGGGCTGATCGTATGATCCTGTCTGCATACGATCAGAGCGTGAATGTCGAAAGGGAAAATCGAAAATAGAGAGAAAGGGATGCCTCGATCAAATCGACTTGTAGACTTGTGCTGGGCTTATCTGATGCGCAATTTTTCAATTTCATGAACTGATGTTGAGAAATGACCCAGCATCGATATCAGTTACAATTTACATTTTATTTTTACACCGTTTGCGCACAGGTAAAAGATAAACATATCAATTACTCAGCATCGAGGCCCGTTGACAGACAAACCGAACTACTGCCACTGCTACCAGCTAAAGCAACTCCTGGATCTATGTCATCGTTTCTCACTTCCGAGAAAGTCATTTCTCACACTGGGCATTGGGATTTGTTTGTGTTTCATTTGGATTTTGATTTCGATTTCAATTTCTTTTGTCTTCTGGCCAGACATAGTCTCAAGTGTCGCTTTTGGAAAGTGTTGCTACTTTTGACTTCTGGCTAAGTGTTTTGGGCAGCAGACCCTTCAGGTGCCAATGCAGCACCTAACAGCACCTATGGGAAATTATATGAATTATATTAAACGGACTCCAACAGGGACAAGCGAAATCCTTGAAACCGTTTGAAAGTTTCGCTTTTTATTTATTTATTTTTTTGTTGTATTCGAGACGCTTGGGAGCACTATAAAAATACCCCGTAAAAATGCTGAGAAATGTAACAGATATTCATATCTGTCTGATTGAAATACTTTGAATATTATATTTTATATAAATATGTGTTCAGATTTATATGGATAGAGAGGTAATATGTATCAATAGGTATATATCTGTAAAGAGAAAAGCTATGAGAATAAATTAAACTTTATTTGAGATCGAGTTAAACTCATTTTAGCTTAGTTCACAATTACCCACATTGATAACTCTGGGAGTCAGGCCAAAGACTTAACACTTCCACAACTGCAGAGCATCTGAATAGTCGAGCATTGCTGCGTGTTCCCGCTTGCTGTTTAACTGCGATTGTTACCCTAATTTTGAGTCGTCTTTAAAAATGAAACGGTCTGATCGCCAGCCTGACCGCTGGGCCAGGCCCAGCCATTGGCAGCAGATCCAACCACGCGTTGGATCGCCCGTAATGGCACAATCAGAATAGCTAGGCTGCGGCGCGGCGCACGCGTGTCATTCCTGGGCAGCAATCAAAGTGATGGGAAAATTGCGTTTGGGTTCAACAGGTTCGCTTGGCTGTGCATTATTTTTGTTTTTGTTTGCCCAAAGGTTAAACGTGCGAATTTCACCAATGGCAACAAAAAATGAAAAGAAGATGGAAACAGAGGCCACGTCTGCAGCTCGAGGTCCAGGCCCAGGGCCTTTTTTGATCAGCGGTCGATCAATGAGTATGCGAATGCGCCACAGTTTCGTTTTCGGTGGTAATCGTAATCGTCTGACTTCTTGTGCTGCTCCTGCTCTTGCTCCTGCGCCAGCTCCTGACATCATTGGGCGCATACCGTACGCGAATTTAAAGCTTATACATATATACATATATATATCAGCTACAGCTACAGCTACAGCTAAAGCTAATTAAATGTAATTTGGTACTTCCTTTTCAGCCGAAATAATACATATAAATAGTATCTTTAGTTTACATTTTATTCGCGCTCTTCTCGGCCGGCCTCTGCGCTCATTATTATAAATTTTCGTTTTCTTACTTAAGGTCACTTCAATTCCATACCGCTATACATATATGCATCCTATGTGCCAGGGTAAGTTTATATGCATGCTTCATAGGAATTCGCTCGTCGTACTTCAAGTGCAACAATACAACAATTGAGAAAAGAACTAAACTGTGGACGCAGTGGAAAACCGAAACTGAAACTTGTTAATTGTTTTGCGCTCGAGTGGCGCGGCCTCTGTAGGAGCGCGCACGCTCTTCAGTTTCCACTGAAGAAACACTTTCCATTCAAGCCCAATAAACGAGCCATTGTGAAAAACGTTGGCCCATTCATGAAAGCACCGAAGAGGGGCACCGCGTTCTCTGTCTGAGACTGCAATTGTTGCGCCGCAAATTAGACGCTCAATTACTCTACAAAATTCCTGGATAATTTCATTGCAGTGAGTAGTGAGGAAGGTGTACGGGATTTGGTTCGTGTAGGGAGTAGAGGCACAGACAGGCCTAGCCTCTCCCTCTTCTACGTCTGCACGAAAGTGAATCTTGACCACGTGGTGTTTCTTTGATTGTAACCCTTCGCTTAGACGATCATTTTTCATAATTTTTCCTCTAGCCACATCCTTCCGTAAAATGTTCTCACACTTGACCCGCTGCGCTCGGCAACGCCCCGCCAAGGATCGGAAGTTGTTCCTGTGCCGCAGCATCATCATCGGCATCATTCTAGGCGCACTCAAAAATCTTGTTGCTCAACAGACGAGTAGAAAATCTTATTAAAAATTGTTATTTCTTTCGTGGCCCTTTTCTCTTGTTATTTATTTTTTTTTTTTTTTGTGTTTTTTATTTTTTATTGCTTTAATCATTTTTATTTTGTGCGGCTTCCGTGCCACCTGTTATGCTCAGCGTTGGCGAAGGTGTAGCAGCCAGAAGCAGCAACAGCAGCAGCAGCAGTAGTCGGAGCAGCAGCAGCAACAGCCTGAGGTCCTCGGATCCTTGAGGCCTTTTTGATTTTTCTCAAGTGATTGCGTAGTTTTCATCTTTTGTTCGCTTATTGTTGTAGTTCTCAGTGTTTCAAATTTGAATTGATCATGGCGTGCTGATCTGGGTAAGGGTAACGTGGGATCGCCACAAAAGCCATGTCCTACATCCGACCCTATCTAAATACCAATCACAATTTGTCGATCGATTATAATGCCTACTTCCGATTCCGATTCCGTTTGCGTTATTCTAATTCAAATGCAGCGTGAAATTAATTTCTATTTGCAAAGACAAATGGCCTTGGGCCACATGACGAATGCCAGCGAATTAGTCAAAGTTGCTGCACGGTCAGGATCAGGTCGGCGCCAAGCGGTTGCCAAAGATCACCAAAGAGATGGCTATCGAGTGCAGTCCACTCCTGTTGGCAAAACAAAACACAGACACAGAGCAGCTTCAAAGTCGAGCCGTGCGACAAAAATTGCTACGCTTCACTCTGATCCCATCAGATGCTGATAAATATATACGTATGTGCATGTACATACATACAGATATAGATGGATAGATGCCGGCAGGTTGTGATAACCATCAGTATGCAATCTATAACAACAGGCTGCCTGCAGGCGTGCCCAAACAATGACACAGTGGGCGCTGCATTGACCTGGCCAGGACAACATTGACTCGACTCGCCTCGACTCGACTCGAGCCCGACCCTATCCAACCCTCAACTGAGCGTGTGTATAATCTAGTTTTAATTTTCATGGGAATTAACCCATGTCCTCATGTCCTTACAACAATTTTGTGTAAACAATGTGCAATTTATGCGTTCTGTATTTACACACGATATTCATATAAATGTAAAAAAAAGAAGCTGTAGCTTCTGTCCTGTCGAGTCCTGCCGCTGTTTGAGCTACTATTTGCTTTGATTTTCACTCGACTCTTTTTTTTTTTTTGCACTGACTGGAGTGTACATATCATATTTGCATCAATTTTTTCTCAGCGCTCGTCAATATTTGCTCAGCAAGTCAAACAGTTGGCACATCCCGGGCACACAATGCTCCAATGCTCCTCCTCGTCTGTTGATTTCTCTTGGACTTTGCATCGGCCAATTGCATATTTAATTTGCCTTTAATGAATTTTCAATTTGACAATGCCGCACACGAACGCGCCGAGGCCACCCACCTGAAAACATGAAAGACTACACATGCAATCCTGACTCTGCTCTCCTCCAATTGCCAGTCCCAATCCCAATCCCATTCCGATTCGCAGTCGAGATGCCATTGCATGCTCCTGTCCTGCTTCCGATTGATTGACTTTCGCTCTTTGCATTTCATGCGAGATCATTTTGGGCGGTGCTAAATGCTAATAAAATAAGTAACATACAAATTTTCAATTTGTGTTTAGGACAAAAAATAATTGGGCTACGGCTGCCGAAAATGATCGCAATCCCGGACAACACTTTCACGGCCCAGAGGGACTTGCTAATGGGAGTCGTTGACGTGCGCCTACTTTTATTCTTGATTGGCATCTGTACAGCTCCTACACGTTTCACATATTGAGCTTTAAGAATTGGGGTATATTTCATTGGGTTAATGCTTGGCAGATAATATTAAAATTCTAAGAACATTTCCTCA